GCACTGTCCTTTGGCCATGGAGAATGGACCTAAAAAATCCATCCCCTATATAGCAAAAGGCCAAGGTGAAACGACGGGATACATTTCTTAACAAAAAGCTCAATCTTTGGCTAGTTGGCCAATAATACCCTGCATTGAGCACTTTTGTTGCCATCGTTCTTCCTCCCAAGTGGGTTCCACAGATTCCCTCGTGAATTTCCCTTATGACATAATCAACTTGTTCTTCTTTGAGACACTTTAACAGCGGGGGTTAAGATCCTTCTTCTATACAATTCACCGTTGACGAGGGTATATTTAGTTGCTCGTATCCTGAGTCGTTTAGCTTGTTCTGAATCGTCAGGGAGTTTGTTGGTGACGAGGTATTGAACAATGTCTGTCATCCAATTCCAAGATGTATCTTCAATCTCTATACATTCTTGACCCAAAATACTAGGCTTGTTAACTTCTTGTTGGATCATGCTTTGTAGCTGTCCCGGCTTTTGATGACTAGCTAACTTTATGAGTCTATCGACTTGTTCTTTCAAACCTCGCAGTGTGACAAACATGTACCTCATTGATAATATTGTAACATGATGGGGTCTTTAACTTGATAAGTGTCATTGACCTGCTCGGCTACTACTTGGGAATCGCTCAAGCATGTAATTCTTTTGACTCCTATTTCTTTTGCTAACCGAAGGCTGGCAAGTAATGCCTCATATTCAGATTGATTATTTAAATTTTTAAAGCCGAAACGTATTGATTGTTCCGACGTCACTTGATTTGGTCCCTCGAGGATTACGCCCACTTCACTTTCGTGTAGATTTGAGGACCCGTCGACATGTAAGTTCTATGTGTCAAAAATAGGCATCTTCTGAGGGTGAAACTTGTTAAGAAATTCCATGAGGACTTGGGCTTTAAGAGGTCCCCGTGCTTCAAAACGAATGTCAAATTAAGACAACTTGACAGCCCACGCCATCATCCCCCTAGCTAGTTCTGGCTTGCACAACACCTTCACAATGGGGCTATTAGTTTGTACTATTATCCGATGGCCCTATTTGTAGTGTCTGAGTCATCGTGCCATATGGACTAACACCAGGATTGCTTTTTCTATCAATTGGTATCGGGTCTCAATGTCATGTAGTGTCTGGCTAATAAAGTACACTGGCCTCTATTCTGACACTTCTTGCAATAAGACAGAACTGATGGTTTTGTCTAATATTGCTAAATAAACGATTATGTCCAAATTGGATTTTGGTTTGGTTCAGATGGACAGTGTTGCAAGCATGGTCTTAAATTATCTAAAAGCGGCATCACACTCTTCGAATCACATGAATTTCTGCACCTTCCTAAGGAGATCCGTGAATGGTCATGACTTTTTCGCCATTTTAGGAAGAAATCGAGATAGCACAATTATTTGGCCAGTCAACCGTTGCATTTCTTTGATAGTATGGGGACTGTGCATATCGATAACTACTTGACATTTGTTCTGGATTCGCCTGAATCCCTCTTTCCAAGAGCATAAATCCCAGGAACTTACCTCCAGATACGCCGAATATACACTTGTCGAGGTTAAAACACATTCCATGCCTTCTTGCTTCCGAAAAGGCGTCAGTCAAATTCGCCACATATTCGTCATCTGAGGTGAACTTGACGACCATGCCATCCACATATACTTCTATGCACCCCCTGAGCTGCTTAGTAAAAATTTTATTTATCAACCTTTGGTATGTTGCACTTGCATTTTTTAGTACGAAAGGCATGACCCAATAATAGAAATTAGCCGACTCGGTGATGAGGGCTGTTTTCTCTTCATTCGGCTGGTACATCTTGATTTGATTATATTCAAAGTAAGCATCATAGAAACTAAGAAATTTGTGCCCCGCTGCTCCATCCACTAAAGCATCAATGTTAGGCAGGGGGTAGGCGTCTTTGGGGCATGTTTTATTCAGGTCGGTGAAGTTGGTGCACATCCTCCACTACCCATTTGTTCTTTTTACCATTACAATATTAGCCAACTACGTTGAATATTGCACTTCCTAGATGAAGCCGGCTTTTAAAAGTTTGTCAGTCTCTTCCCAGACTGCACGGGCTCGGTCACCTCCAATTTTTCTCCTTTTCTGGACGACCGGCTTGGCTCCTTTATACACCGATAAGCGATGGGCATATCTGCCGCCGTCCAACGTGGTCAAGTAGTACTTTTTGAATTGCTTGTTGTTCATTCTGAGATAACCCGACCCCTAGATATGTGACCTGTTCGGTCATTCTTCTCAACCGAAAGGGTTTCTTTTCCTCATTAGGCTCAACCCAAAATCCCATGCCACTCTTGGATCAAGTTCCATGTCTAGGTCAATTCCTAACTGAGGGGATACTATGTTGATGTCCCTGCTTAGATTGGGTAAAGGTTTTAAGCGCAGACTTGCGAAATAGCACTTTCAGGCAAACTTTTGATCTGCATAGACGATGATGATCCTGCCTTTATCTGAGGGGAACTTCATGGCGAGATGGGAAGTGGAAACTATGGCCTTGAGCTTGTTTAGGGAAGGATGCCCCAACAATATGTTGTATGAGGTACTTGCATGCACCACTAAATATGTAACCTTAATACACCTTCCCTCCCATTTAGAACCGAAAAGGGTGTATAAGTCTATGCACCCGCGAGATCATAGTTCAGTGATATTATGAGAAATGATTGCTCTATAGGATTTGAATTATTTGAAGTTTGTAATATTTTGTTGAGCTTACATGTTAAATTAATAAGGTTATGTAATTATTTTAATGTCAAATTTAGAATTGTAACACTTTGGTAAATTTGGTTATAACCATTGATTTGAAATGTTTGTAATATTAATAGTTAATTTTTTTTATTCTAGTTTACATTCAAATTGTAGATAAAAATTTACTTTGTGAGAAACAATGTTGTTTACGTTTTAAGCATATATGTATATATAATATGAAGTAAATAAATTGTTAAGATGAAAATCTTAGTTTTTGCTCTATTGAGATAATTGAAAATTTTAAAAATATTTCATTTTAAAGGGTTGAACATCTTTGAGTTTTCATGAATCTAATAACAGGAATACAAGTTTTACTCTTTTTCAATTCTTTGAGCTATAAATATAACAAGAAATTCATTTAATTTTTATTCCTTATTATAAATTATTGTTTATATTGGATAAGAAATAAGAGTGTTACAACGATGGTTTCAATATTTGGCTTTAAGAGAGGGAAAGAAAAAGAGGCAAAGAATGAAGTGGAGAGGAGGTAGTTTAAGATATACTGTTCATGTATGAGAAAATGACATAAATAAAAGATGATGAAAGTAGAAATATCACAGCTAAGAAGACTAAGAATGAGAGTATGTTTGTTCAATTTTTTTTCTTTTTTCATTATATTTGAAGATTGAGGAACTATGATAAATATTTGTCATTAAATTTTTTTATGTTATGTGTTTTACTGTGAATATACATGTATTTGTGATTCAAAAAAAAAATGAAAATAATGATCTATCATACACAAAATATATCTCAAACTATGATAATAAAGTAAAATGAATTACTTAGTTTTATGAGTTTGCTTTTCAACTACTGAGAGATTCTACACTTTGATTATGATTTTTTGCTCTATTTGCTTGAGTTCTTCTTCTTTTTGCTTCTCTTCCTCCTCTATTCTTAGATCCTTCTCTCCTTTTTATAATTTTTGTATCTCCCCCCTTTTTTATACCTCAGGCCTCTCTTTCTTTTTCTTTTTTTTTTAAATTTCCCTTGCTTTTCTCGCTCCCCTTATACTATTTTTTCTTCTGAAACACATCCTTTTTTCTTGTTCAAACACTTAATTCTATTTTTTTTTTTTTTTGCAATTTCAAATATAATTGAACATTTGCAAGCAGCTAGAGCAACTTATTTACTCTCCGATCTCCTTTTTTTTGTTTTCCATTACTTTTATTAATAATAAAATAATAAAAAAAAATTGAGTATTCACCACAACTAAATCCAAGTATAAACACGATGAGGGTACACAATGGTAATTAATTCTTGGAATCATCAGTTAAAAGCTACTTTTGATTTATAAGAATAAATTTTTTTATAATTTATATGATAGGGAGTTACATATAATATATTTTTATTAAAAATTATAAAATTTAATAATATTAATATATTTAATTGCATTGAATTATATAATTTTCATAAAAATTTATTTTAATATATATATATATATATATATATAGCTTCTTATTTAGGCAATGTTCCATAGATTAAAAATTAGTACAAAAAATAATACTTTTCTTAAAAAATAAAGACTTTATTTTGTCGATACATTAATTATTAAATTTTTTTATATTTTTATTTATTATAAGATTTCTATTAAGTGAATACATTTGTTTATTTAATTTATACTTGATTCAATAATTTAGTATTATGAATATTGAATTATATATATATAACTATATTTAATTTATTATAATAAATTAAATATTTATTTTTTATAAATAAACCGAGAGAAGTATCGTATTAGAAACCTTGGGGCTTGGGCTAACTTATCCATTAGTGCTTCCACTTCATGTCATGCCAAATGAAGCTGTATTTTGGAGGGGGAAACCTATAAAATTACTCAAATCTGTTTGTTTACCCTAATGCATCTAAATGATAATAAATTAATTTTTCTGATCATGTGGCCAGATCGATGTCCCTAGAAGGAAAGGTTTCTTCGTGGTGGATGGCGCTTATATTTAATTCACAACCCATAGTTGTGTGTGGCCCATTTTCCTTATCACAAAACTACACTACCTACAGTCAAATCATGATATGGATGCCACATTGTCACGAGTTACTAGTCAGTCACTACCCGCCACTCCACATATCATGTGGTACATTAGGAAGATCACCTATGACTCAAATTCTTTTTAAAGCACTTTGTTGTATTCAAACGCACTAATAGATTTTCTCTTTGCTCTGCTGCACTGAGAGTATACAAGTTCACTCCCAATACTATTACTAGAGAGCCAATCGCTTACCAAACCAATGATGAATAAGATAAGCTCAGTGGAGGAGAAACACATTGCAGTCTTTGTTTTCCCCTTTGGAAGCCACCCTCTTCCTCTATTAAACCTCGTTATCAAACTAAGTCATGCAGCTCCCAACTTGCACTTTTCATTCATCGGCACTGAACTCTCCAACAAACCTCTTCTCTCAAAACCCCACATTCCAGACACCATAAAGTTCTTCACTGTTGGTGATGGAGTCCCAAAGGGTCATGTCCCTTGTGGCCACCGTGTTGAAAGAGTCAATCTTTTTCTTCAAGCTGGTCCGCAGAACTTGCAAAAGGGTATAGACTTAGCAGTGGCAGAAACAGGACATAGAGTCACGTGCATCATTGCTGATGCATTTGTCACACCTTCTCTCACTGTGTCTCAGCACCTTAATGTTCCTTGGATCCCAGTTTGGCCACCCTTGTCATCTTCACTCTCTGCTCATTTTTACACTCACTTGATACGCCAAACGTGTGCTAATAATAACCTATCGCGAGACTCCCCTTTGGATTTTCTTCCTGGGTTGTCTATGATGCGTGTTGAAGACTTGCCAGAAGATGTAGTCAATGGTGGTGAAGATGAGACACTGTTTTCAAAGGCACTTGCTTCACTGGGTATTGTGTTGCCTCAAGCCAAGGCTGTGGTTGTTAATTTCTTTGAGGAATTAGACCCACCCTTGTTAGTTCATGACATGAGATCAAAGTTATCTGCTTTTCTCTATGTTGGTTTTCTCACTCTTTCATTGCCTCTACCACCCTTGCCTCCCTCTGACACAGATGCAACTGGGTGTTTGTCATGGTTGGACAAGCACAATGGTGGATCAGTGGTGTATGTTAGCTTTGGGACTGTGGTGACACCACCACAAGATGAGATAGTGGCACTTGCAGAAGCATTGGAAGCTAGTGGTTTTCCATTTCTTTGGTCTCTAAAGGAGCATGTGAAAGGGGTTCTGCCAAATGGGTTTCTTGAGAGGACAAGGAATAATGGGAAGGTTGTGCCTTGGTCTCCTCAGAGTGAGGTTTTGGGACATGGTTCCGTGGGAGTGTTTGTGACTCATTGTGGGTGTAACTCTGTGTTTGAGAGTATGTCGAATGGGGTGCCTATGATATGTAGACCTTTCTTTGGGGATCAAGGAATGACTGGGAAGATGGTTGAGGATGTTTGGGAGATTGGTTTGAGAGTGGAAGGTGGAGTGTTCACTAAACATGGTTTGCTCAAAAGCTTGAACCTGATTCTTGTGCAGGAAGAGGGAAAAAGGATGAGACAAAATGCTTTGGAAGTGAAGAGGACTGTGCTAGATGCAGCTGGGCCTGAAGGAAAAGCAACCCAAGATTTCAAGACTTTGGTGGAAGTAGTTTCTAGCTCTTAATTGATGACCCGCTGCAAGTGATTAGTGTTGTATGATTCATGACCAATAAAAGGAGAGTGTTGTATGATTAGAGTGGTTTAGTGAAGAATAAATGCTCATCATTCAATGGAGAGAGCATTAACATGAAATATATAAAGAGATTAAAGTTAGTAACATACTTCTCTATTTTTAGTTAAAATTGATTGAAAATTAAAAAATATTATGTAAGTTTTACTCTTTTTTATTTTTAAATTAATGTTTTTTTCTCATATTTTTTTAATTTTTAATAAATTTGAGTTAATAATAAAGTATTTGAAAAAGAGTGTTACAAACATTTCTTAATATAAATAATGGAGAAAGCTATATGCAAGTGAGTTGGCTCAGAGATATAATATAATGATAACTTATTGATCTAAATGGTAATTTATAAAATTTATGATGATTGATTTTCTAGCATGGACAATGTCGTTGAGTTTGAGAGAAGTTGTTTGTATCTACCATGAAGTTTAAAAGAAGAAGAAAATAAAAATAATGTATCAACATAACATAAAATGAAAATTCCAAGACAGACAAGCCTCCTACATGACGAGAAAAGACATAAAATGATTCTAAGTAAGATGCAAAAGATGAGACAAACAAAATGCACCTCCATGAGAAGAACTGGACCAAAGATCTCCAAAACATGCAGTGATAGAGAGTCAAGTTTAATTTAAGCCTAAACCTACTTTTTGGAATTCATTAGTAAACACTTATAAATTAATCAGGAAATACCTTCTAGCACTCGATGTTGGCAGTGACATTTGATAAGATGGTTGGGCCAATAAAATTGCTAAATTCCTATCATGAGACTTACTTGATATGCACAAAAGAATTGTTAGGCACTCTAAAAGTTAGATTAAAAGAAAAAAAAAAAAAAAAAAAAAAAAAAAGAATCAATTGACTATATGACAAAAGAAATGGTAAGGTTGAAGAGGTAAATTGATCATACATGAAAAGTAATGAAATGTCTATGAAAAATGAAAAATGAAAAATGAAAAATGAAAAATGAAAAATGAAATATGAAATATGAAATATGAAATGATAAAAGTGGTAGAGAGATGGTAATGCTTTTTTTGTGTGCATAGAAATAACCCTCAAATTGATAAATGGAAACTAATTCTTTCGAAACAGAACACTGAAGGAGAGCGCATTGTATTGATGAGTTTCACAAATCAAGTGACAATTAATTAGCAAAGAAAAAGGGTTGGTCAAAAGTAAAACAGAGCTTCCTCGGTTCATAACTCCATATTTCAGATATTGACAAATGGAAACTAATTCTTTCGAAATACAGAACACTGAAATAAATTTTACCTTTTCTAGCAATTTTTTTTATACACATTATTAAAATCAAATTCTTATTAACAGTTAAAAAATTCAATTATCTACTGTGTGTGCCGAAATTTATTAATTATTAAATAATTTTTTTTCTTAATATGTGTCTTTCTTATTTTGTAATATTTTAATAATATACGTTTTCTAAGATTTAATATAAAATCAAAATAATATTTTTTTTCTTTATTTGAGATTTAATATCAAATCAAAATAATGTTTATATTTTATATTATAATTATATTTTCCGCATTTTAATTTATATAAAATTTTAGTTTCTATAGTTTTAAAACAAAGCGTTTAATTTTGAAATACAAAATCTTTTAATTAGTTATTCTATTTGTTTGTGAAAATGATAAGAAAGCATGTCAACTACACAAACAAGATTTAGGTGAAATATCAATCAATACTACTCGTATTGTTATCTAATCACAATTAAAACTTTTACCTCATAATTTGGCAGAATAGAGTTGGACTACTTACCTGAATGCGATCATTTTCATGGCAAAATGTACAGCGGTCGGAGTTCTAACTGCATCCTGTACAGTTCTATCTGAACCGCTCAAAAATATGTACCGCAATTTAAAACATTTTTTGAATTATGAAGTATAATATCTTGGGTCTAACATTATGTGGGGAAAAAATGTGTATTGATAACGTAATTTCATTAAAAAAACTAATAAATAAACCTTTTAAGTCAAGCTAATTGCTACTATAAGGTAACTGGGTTGTGGGAAGAAAATCATTGGATTGAAGGTTGACACAATGAACCATTGAATCTATCCCAATAGAATTCAGTTCCCACGAGACAAAAAGCACCACATTTGCCCAAGAAATGAAGTGGGCACATCATTGTGTCCTGCATGGCCTTCTTCAACCCACGCCTTTTGGCCAACATGGCCTCCACATCTTCTTCACCTTCCAACCACATCAAAACATTGGTTTCAAAGGGTCTTTATCACTACACACTTCAATTTTTCACTGAACTTCATCTCTATGACCACTGTTCCATCTCCTCTGCTCTTCCATCAGTGATCAAGGCATGCTCCTCTGCCCAATATCATGCTTTTGGCACACAGCTTCATTGCTTTGCTCTCAAGACAGGCTCCCATTCTGAACCATTTGTGTCCAATTCCATCATCTCCATGTATGCCAAGTTTTCAGACATCGAATCGGCACGGCAAGTGTTTGATACAATGCCTCACAGAGACCTCATCACCTGGAACTCAATGATTAATGGTTATTTGCAAAATGGGTGCTTGGAAGAAGCTTTGGAAACGTTTAAAGATGTGTACTTGATTGGTCTTGTTCCCAAGCCTGAGTTGCTAGCAAGCATGATATCCTTCTGTGGTAGAAAAATGGGTTCAAGGGTAGGGAGACAGATTCATGCTCTTCTTGTTGTTGATGAAAGGATAAAACAGTCAGTGTTTCTGTCAACAGCTCTTGTGGATTTTTATTTTAGGAGTGATGATTCTTTGATGGCTTTGCGTGTTTTTGATGGAATGGAGGTGAAAAATGAGGTTTCCTGGACTGCTATGATATCTGGGTGCACAGCTAATCAAGATTATGATGAAGCCTTTGCATGCTTTCGAGCAATGCAGCTTGAGGGAGTTAGACCAAATAAAGTCACATCAATTGCTCTGTTACCAGCTTGTGCCAAGTCAGGCTTTTTTAAGCATGGAAAGGAGATTCATGGCTATGCCTTCCGTCATGGGTTTGAGTCAAGCCCTAATTTTTCATCAGCTCTCATAAATATGTATTGTCAGTGTGGAGAATCACCTCACCATGCTGAGCTAATTTTCGAAGGGTCTAGTTCTAGAGATGTGGTGTTGTGGAGTTCAATCATTGGGAGCTATTCTCGAAGAGGGGATAGCTACGAAGCATTGAAGCTTTTTAACAGGATGAGGACTGAAAAAACTGAACCAAACTATGTAACTTTGCTCGCAGCTATATCTGCCTGCACAAATTTATCTTCACTGAAGCATGGATGTGGACTCCATGGCTATATCTTCAAATTTGGATTTAGTTGTAATACCTCTGTGGGCAATGCACTTATAAATATGTATGCCAAATGCGGTTGTCTGGATGGTTCTTGTAAGATATTCCTAGAAATGCCGAGTAGAGATTCTGTTACATGGAGTAGTTTGATCAGTGCCTATGGCTTTCATGGATGTGGAGAACAAGCTTTACAACTTTTTCATGAAATGAAAGAGAGAGGAGTGAAGCCTGATGCAATCACCATCCTTGCAATTTTATCGGCTTGCAATCATTCTGGCCTTGTAACTGAGGGACAACGGATATTCAAACAAGTTAATGAAGATTGTGAAATTCCGTTAACTATGGAGCATTATGCTTGCCTAGTTGATCTTCTTGGAAGGTCAGGTAAACTTGAAGATGCTTTGGAAATACTGAGAACAATGCCCATGAAACCGAGTGCAAGAATGTGGAGCTCTCTTGTATCGGCTTGTAAGCTTCATGGAAGACTGGACATTGCTGAAATGCTAGCCCCACAACTTATAAGATCAGAACCAAATAACGGTGCTAATTACACATTGCTGAATATGATCTATGCCGAGCATGGTCATTGGCTTGATATAGAACAAGTGAGGGAAGCCATGAAACTACAAAGGTTAAAGAAATGCTATGGGTTCAGCCGCATTGAGGCTGGAGATGAGAGTTTCTAGCAAAGCAGAAAGTAGCCAGCTTTATGCAGGAGCAGGAAAAACGTTCGCATACGATTATGGATAACAATATATTGTACGCTGCTTACTCTACTATTAATAAATACCAGGTTTACTTTTTCTGCTAAGATAAACAAGTTCACATATGTCCTCAAGGTGGGTTCGATGAAAGAAGCAATGCAAGTTCACGGGTCTATCATATGATAGCATCTTTGCTTGATAGGATTCTCGACAAAAAATTACTTACAGCACTCCGAGGCATTACCAGGAACAGAAAAAGTTGACTCCAGCTCAAACAAATAGTACCTAGTAACTAGTGAAAGGAAAATTATGAATGAAAGTCTATACATGGTCTAGGTATATACAGCTTTCCCGAAATGGAGGTTAAAAAGGAACAGCAAAAATTCACATGAATATTGATAGCTTCTAAGCAAAAGGTATTTCAAGAGATATTTCATCTCCATCTAATGAGTCTGTCCATTTTTTAGTCACTGTCTTAATCTGCGTGTAAAACTGAATTCCAGCTCTGACTGCATGAAAGAATTTTAAGAATTGAGAATACGTTCACACCCTTAATGCACACACATCAGGTAGTAAATCACAGAAAGCACGGTAATAGTTCTTTACCATCAAAACTCAAATCACCAACAAAAGATGGCCTGGAGCTAATAAATGAAGAAAAGGGCAATGAAACAGAGATCGGGACATTTATGCCAACCTGATTCAGATCACATTCAAAAACTAATCAGAAAAATGCAAGTAGGCCAATAATTTTTTTAAAAAATAATCAATTTAAACAGCTTTGAGTAACATTGCATGGATATCAAACAACTGCCAAAAGTAATAAAAGGTTTGACTGAATTTGAAATAACAAAAGGTTGAATTTGTTGGAATTTCTGCATTATAAAAAAAGTCCAAGAAAAAACAACAATAATGTAAAAAATAGGTAACTTAAAGAATTTCCAAGATGTACAAGAAGTAACGAAAGGGAATATTAAAACAAAACAAATCACCAGATTGACAAGCTAACATGGATTAGCAGAGAGATGTGACTAAACAGTTTTTTTGTCTAACTTCAAACGTCAGCAGAGATGTGACAGTTGCTATTTACCTGTCCAACCTCAACCTCGGTCTGGAATTTTCTTGCAGCTGCATTAGATGTTGTAAAAATGGAAGCTCCATTACCATACCTATAGAATGACAAACAATTAAGTACTGTAGATAAGTAAAATTTTATATATATGAAAAGCTCAAGAGAAGCTAAAATCTGTAGCACTTGTTGCTATTGACGATGTTTATGGCTTCTTGTATGTTATCAACCTGGGCATTAAAAATATAATGTTTTAACATTTTTGGAACAGAGTCACAATTTATTCAATACAAACAAAGGCTTCACGAACAACCTCCATACACAGAAGAACTGGGCCTAGAATCTCATCCTGCAGTAAAGATATCCATCATGAATTTATCACAGGGTAGGTCAAACTTTTATCATTGACAACCCATGAGGCACCAGAATTTAATTCTGAGAACATAATTAAAACTACCTTGTAGCATCCCATATCAACTGTGACATCTGATAAAATGGTGGGACCAATGAAGTTTCCATGTTCATATCCTGGAACCTATAGAGCAACATTTCATGTATGCACAAGCATTAGGATTTATGAACAAGGCTTCATATAACCTCTCATGACACAAATGTCCATAGCAGCATTATACAAGTAAAAGGTTAGTTGTTAATATTCTGGGAGAAAAAGAATAAAACAAAATTAAACTAGCAGATCGTTGTTCATTAATTTCAATTTATTATGCAGGAATTTATCTACTTGACACATTTACATGCCACAATATGCTACATCATACAAAGCACAACCTTCAAAATTGAGGAATCACTGGATATTTGCTTGTCTGCTGAAAAGATCACAAAATCTAATAGTATTACAAGTACAGAGTAGCAATTCCTTTCTTCATTCATACATGATTTTGTTCCTTTTACAGTTCATTATCTTCCTGAAAAATTCAGGTATCTTCAGAAAAATGTTGGAAGTGTTATCTAATTCTATAAGAATCAATTTATTCCATAACAGTCACTGGAACTTACGTCAAGCTGAGACTTGTGCATCCATGATAGCTGACTGACACATGTGATCAACAGTGACACAAACCCAGCTAGGTTTCCAATCGTGTTATCAAATTACTATCCTAAACCATCAATTTGAATGGTGTCCCCTAAAAATTCATTTCTTCAATCCCCCGTTATGGAAATTTACTAACATTTAGATGGCTATTTCATATGCTTGCCTTCTTGTCTAAAACGTTGCATCACTCTCTTTACTAAAAAAAAAAAAATAACGTAGCTGTCAAAACAAAGCACCTAAACAGCAGTCCTGAGTGCAACTCATCCACAACAATAAATAGAAACAAAATTAAGGAAAAATACCACAATGTTTCTCCCATCAAGCACTAGTTTTGCACCAGATTCCAAGCCTGTTTGAATCAATCGGCAAGTGTGTTCTTTAGCCTGCGATGAGTCTTGAATATAAGATCATGAAATATAAATAATCAAGAACCTCAAACTTAACCCAGATCAAAGCTCATAAATGCATAAAAAACAACTATCAGCGTTCCTTTAAATGAATAGCACATAGTATATATTCATCAGTTGAATGGTTCATTGCATGCTTGTCATTCACTCTCTCTATCTCTATCTCGTGCTCACACACTCAATCTCTGTCTCTCTCTCTCTCTCTCTCTCTCTCTCTCTCTCTCTCTCTCTCTCTCTCTCTCTCTCTCAATTACATCCTGTTCTCTTCTTGATAACTCTTCTAGTAAATTTTAAAGACAATTGTTTTAGTACAATATATGAATGATATATGCACCTGTTTACTAATGACTGGACCAAGGTCTGCGTCTGGTTCTGTTCCAGCGTTAACCTTAAGCGCTTTGACATGGTTTACTAGTTTGTCTTCCCTGGTGAAAGAAAATAATTAAAAACTCTCTTTATACCCAGTAACTGATACATTTGTTAACCAATTCTTTAAGCAACAATAGACAATCAGCCATGAATATAAAAACAAGAATGACTCATGGAAAATATTGAGAGATGTAAGAATAAAATAAAGACTTGGGAGATATGTACACAACCAATAAAACTGAACAACCAAGAAGTGTTTATAAATGACCAACCAATTTGGTCAGCCTAATCAATTATAATCTTCAAATTTCTAGTTCATCACTTAAACGAATCCAGCATTATCTTGAGACAATAATTTTACATTCAGAAAGTTGAACAAAATACCATTGACTGAAACTTCCAACAAAAACAACAGCACTCAGCGCTGTGCACTTCTGTCCAGCAGCACCAAAACCAGCTGTAACCAAAGCTTTCAAAGTGGAATCTACTCTTGCATCAGGCATTATGACAGCATGATTTTTGGCTCCAATATTGGACTGAAGACAATAGCCAACCACCCAATTTACATTGACCTCAACTACTGCATTGGGTTAAGAGCAATACATGGCTCATAAAAGGAACAGGAGCTTTACTACCAGAGCAGAAGCAGATAAATTACCTGAACCCATCTACCTTTAGTAGATGCTCTTGCATATACAGAATCACCAACCTTAAGAGAAAAAAGCATAAAATCAGTACACCAAATTGGCCCAATTCCCAATCTATGAAAAACATCAACAAACATTAATTTTTTCATTAATTTCAAGATAAGCAAGATTGCTGCTTACAAATTTTTACTGTTTTAGGATGTTAAGACATTTTAAATCTTTACAACAATATAAAGAAGACATTATAATACCAATCATGCCAAAAAAAGCTAGTGTCAAATGTAAATACCAAAATGAACATCTTGAAATTTAAGGGCTGATTGCATGGCTACACTCATGATATCATAAAGTAAAATGTGATGATACCAGAATCATCATTAAGTATGCCTCTTTTAACACTAATTCATGAACGTTGAGAAGCTTCACTAAAAAAAATCCATACATCTACATTTTCCCTTAGATGTAGGGAATCATACTTACCAATCATCACTGCCACAATTCTTATTATTTCAACATATGGAATATACTAACTGTCACACACAAGGTCTGACACAATATCTTTCTTGATGAATGAACATTTTGAGGATGTATGACAACTAACTTTTGCATGAGGTTACTGATGTTAAGGCCAAGACAACCATACATTTAAAATCTGGGAATTACTGTTAGATATTTTAGTAGCCACAGTGAATTTTTTAAAATTCTTGAATAAATCTCGGTTCTCAAGCTAATATGTATGGTTCCTCATGAGAATGACTTACTGTATTTGAACCAACAAATGAGACAGCCTTTATATCATCATCATCACAGATAGAATTGACAATGTCCTGTCCAAATCAATTTTCAAAAGTGAGGGAGAAATGAATCAGTGTTACAAGTAAGTAGTAATAGAAACATCAATGTATCATTGGGTTACAATATTTGATCAACTGGAAATGAAAACATCAAATTAAATTCTTACATTTGTACCATGAACAATATTTAACACACCATTAGGTAAACCAGCCTCTATTGCTAACTCTGCCAGCATCACAGATGCCCCTGCTGTGCAAATGATAATATAAAGTACTGATTACTAATAAAATCAGTTCATAAAGGAAGGAACATTATAAAGGATGTTATGCTTGCAAGCAAATTTTTTAAGGAAATATAATAAAATATTCCATTATTAGTATTATAATTTATAATATTTTCACCTAACATGAATCCTTCAAATACTTACTGGGTTTGTCATTTCATATAGAACAGACCAGAAAGAATTTCACAATCACCTGGATTCTGCTCTGATGGTTTTAGAATGAATGTATTGCCACATGTGACAGCAAGAGGAAACATCTGCACATATGATTAGTATATAAATACATATAAAGATTTTGGAAATGTAGAATTTACTTTCCATTTAATACATCTAATTTCAGCTTCCTCATGCTGTACATTTCTACTGTACACATTACCTATCTCATGGTATTCAGAAAAATCCATTGCAAAGAATAATTTTTTCTCTTGCTAGTTCCTATTTGCAGTGAAAGGAAATCAACTATGCAACCTAGCATTTGTCTTGATGCAAGAGAGAAGACTTCAGATCAAGAGCAACTACATTAGCATTAAGAAATCGTTGACATTCCTATCTTCGCAATATATAAACTTCAGATTCCAGAGCATAAAACATAACAAAAAGTAGAATTGTTACAGATATACAATGAGCTTACCCATAAGGGAATCATAGCTGGAAAGTCAAAAGGGCAAATACCAGCACAAACACCAAGTGGCTCTCTAATGCTGTATGTGTCTATTCCATTGGACACATTGGGAATAAATTCTCCTTTTTGCAGATTTGCCATGCCACAAGCATGTTCAACAACCTCTATAAAGGAAGATAGTTTTTCTTTGTAAATAATCCAAGCCAATGGTTAGTAAAGCTTGTTCGTAGACACCAAAAAAACAATAACACTAACCTAGCCCACGTAACACATCAACATGTGCATCTTGCAGCGTTTTTCCATGTTCAGTACTAATACTCATTGCAATCTTATCCTGCAAGAGGTTTTAAATAGGCGAACTCTGAATAAATGTAATTAATAAAGGGATTGTCCATTGTGTGCTTGTGGGCACATGATAACAAGTCAAAAATAGAAAGAATGTATTTTATAAAAAATGCAAAATTTATTCAATGTTTTCTTTATTAAGTAATTTATTCAATGCTTTCACATCATGTGCCAATGGGCACACAAAAGAAAACTCCATTAATAAATTGAAATACTTACAATGTCTCTACAAATAAGCTCTTGGAACTTAAACATGATTCTCTGCCGGGTGGTAATTGGTGTGTTGCGCCACAATGAAAAGGCCCGTTTTGCAGAAAAGACTGCTGCCTTGAACTCCTCGCATGTAGTCATTGGAACTTGAGAAACAACTTGCTGGCTTGCCTATTATTTTTAAATAGTCACCAAGCTTCCTTTTATTTCATGTACATGAGTAAAATAATGGGATTCAAATTCCTCCATACACTTACAGGATTTAAAATTTCAATTGATGCACAAGACAGTGAATCAACAAATCTGCCTCCAATAAGATTGGGAACCCTCTAATGCACATGAGAAAACAACTTAAATCCGTTAGGATATAGAAGAGATATAACACTTCAGGTACTTTAAAACTAATGCTAGATATTATATTACCCTTTTTAATTCTTCAGTCTCCTCTCACAATGATTTTTAAGATAAGACTATCCCTATTGGATGTTTTTGTTGGGTAAAATGGAAGGTAATTAATGGATAAAGTAATGCATATAGCAGAATATGTCTATTTGTAACAGAGTTCAGCTTCATTCAAACATAGAAAAAAATTAATTATATCTATGAGGCTGTACATGCAATTTTGCTAAACCTTTTTTATTCCTATATTTTTTTGTTATCAAATACTATTCACTGGCGTCCAAGTACAGAGAACAATGGCCAAATTTTGTTAAGATGAAATATGTGGAAGCACAACAGAACTTACCACAGGGTTGCACTGCCTCCATGACGGTTCAATTACAGCAAGATAGTTGTTTCTCCCAGCAGATTTCTCAGGTCTCAAGGACTTAAAATTCCTAACTGCAACATATGAGCCATCAACCTGTAAGCATAATGCCACATAATTCTTTTTCCACATATTGGAACACCATACCAGAGAATATAAACAGGGCTCATTCTTAAGCCTTCACTTAATAACTGAATATTTTACACTGAACACCATCTCTGTTAGAATTTGTCATATTTCCAATCATTACTCTTGAGATCTGGATGTGGAGTAAGATCTTAATTAGGATAATTCATGTTTTAATGTTCAATAGGTTGTTGACTGCTTTAATTTCAGTACATGTTTCAGTTCACAAGTTCTTTTTCCTAATCTATGGACAACGGCCCAGTTTTATAGGTAATCATGTCTATCATTGTTCTACCTCCGGTCCTTTTTATAGGAACTTTTTGGGAAGTTTGTTTTGTCTTTTTTATAAAATCATATTCAAATTGCTTGCTGCATTAATTTTTCTTTACAAAAATTCCATTAATTATGCATTATTTGATTCAGATGAAGGAAGGAGAGAGAAGGGATTTTAAGGAGAGGAAAGAAGAGAAGGAGCAGAGAGGAGCAGAGAGGAGTTTTAATAGAGGAAAAATATAACTTATTTGGTTCACAAGGGAGAAGCTAAAACAGCACCTCAAGAATCATGTTGATATAATCCAAATCTTAAGTTACTGTAAATTCTCAGTCTTTCTTAAGCTGTTAAACAATCCCAGCCTATCATAACTTCTTGCACCCCAAAAACACCTACGAATCTATGGTCCAAATTTATGTATTATTTAAATCCATGGAGTTTCAGACTAAGATATAACATTCAAGGACAACTATTTAGAAACATGAAGTCATCAAGAAGACCTTACCATTTGTGTTTCCTTGCCTAAGCTTAGCTTTAACATTATAAACATGCTTTGGGGTTGACAAAAGTTCTGGATTGCTTTGTCTCAGTCTCTTTAGAATTTGTCGAGGTTTCAAACCAGCATCTGTCATTTCTTTAATGCGAAAAACTTCTTCCTCTGTGAAGCGACGGGCAGAAGGATGTTCTGACATGTCCTTTAATGGTTCATGATTGTGTGTTCCATTTTTTATGGTGAGTACCCACAAGCCATCATCCTTCTTGCCCACAGCTTCAAAAGGACAATTTGTTAGACGAGAACCACTTTTTCTTTTGCGGCTTTGCTCAGCTGAGGACTCCTCAACAGGTTTTCGCCGGTTGCGATAAACACCTCCTCTGTCACAGCCAAGTACAACTATTTTGTCCCTCTTGGATTGCTTGATAGTCACTACATACCCCTGGGACACAGCAAAGTCTCCAACATGTTGGATGAGTTCTTCACGATCTACAAAAGTGCCTGGGGGAGGAGGAAGCATATGTGCAGTTTCACTTATTTCTGTGCTGCTGTGAACATCCATCATACCATATTAAATAGACAGTAGCATATTCATATGAGACTTGTGTTTTACATGTTCTCCACATCACTGCTGAATAGCTTAAGTCATCCTTATATGCTGTTTCAGTCCTGTTCAATTAAGATGAATGGTCGTTATAAGAGAACAAAGTTCAAAAGTTCTCAATCAAAAGAGACTTGTATTAGGACCAGGGAGGAAAAACAAATGATTGACACTAACAAGACATCTTAAGTATGGAAAGTGTATGTTAGGAGGAAAGGAAGGAAGGAGCCAACGGTTAGTTAGTTAGTTGTTATTTGTTAATATCTTTTAAATAGAGTTAGGGGGAATAGGAGGGAATTATGTGTTTTTGTTTGTAGAGAAATACTGAGAGGATATATTGTTCAGTGTTCAGGGAGCTGTTAGCTCTGGAGGATTCTTGAATCCTTATTCTTTTCAAGGCATTAATAAAGATTGTCAGAATTATTCAGTCTTTTGTTCATCTTTTTCTGATTTTAAAAGCTTTGACCCTAACAACTTGTATTCGTAATTATTGTGAGTTCAATCATTCCTGAATCTCTTAGCCCATATAAACAGCACACCAAAACATATCTGCAGCAATAACATTATTGACTCATGAAAGCACCAAATACATGCAGCAACATGGTTTTTGTACATGGAAACAACAAGAGTTACATCATTTAAAGGCTGTCTTGTAAAAGATTAAAGACTTAATTATGTTTTTGATTCCTATAAAAATAGCACCATTTGAGATAAATTGTTAAAAAAAAATTTCTTAAGATTTAGTCCTTGACAGTTTCAAAATGTAAGAATTTAGTTCCCTATCAATTGTGCTCTGTTTAGTAATGAGCTAGATAACAAAAATCAAATTCAACACTGCCATGTCCTAGTTATTTTTAGAATTTATTATTTAAAAATTAATTTTTACAAAAAATCTCTAAAAATATTTATATTTGCAAAGAAGTCCTTCTTCAACGTTTTCTTCTCTTTTTGTTCTTCTGAGCATCTTCCTCTCTTGAAATCCAAAATAACGCAAGACTCAGGCTAGTAATACATCCAAACCACATTAACAAATATTGCCCAATTTTTCAAAAAAAAACACCAAGCTAGTAAGGTTCTACACCTCCTTCCATTGGAAAAACCAAACCCTAAGACAACCACACACTGAATTATGGCTCTCCCTAAACCCAAAACCCCTTCAATCATTGATGCAGAGTAGAAATTGAACTCAATCAATATTAAATTGTTGCATGGGAAATCAAAGGAGGTAACATTGGAACCCTAGTTTCCATGAACCAACAGTGATGACCTTCACCCTATTAAACCAATTGCCTTTCCTTTTCTAACTTATTCCATCACAACAACAATCTTTTGAAAACCCCAATGATTAGCTTCTAAATTTGCATTTTGCTTTTATTATATTGTTGAAATATTGGAATTTTGCCCTATTACTTTGGATAGTTTTTCTTAAAGCCAAATTTTATATATGCAGTAGCATTTCTGAAGCAAATTGAAACAATGGTTATTAAGAATGTAGTTGGAGTTGCATATAGTGAAGAGAAATGCAATGATGGTTAGGAAGAAGGTTGAAGAAGATGGATTAATTATTAATTATTAATTATTAATTTTTTAAAATAATATAAATATTTTTAAAAAAAAAATTCAAATATTAATATTTAAATAATAAAATATTTAAAATAACACTAACATGGCAGTAGCTGGATTTCCACTATCCAACTCATCACTAAATAAAGAATAGTTGATGGCAGGGACTAAATCATTACATTTTGAAAATGTCAAAAATTAAATACTAACAAATTTTTTTTAAAGAGTTATCACAAATTGTCATTTTTATAGGAACTAAAAACATAATTAAGTCAAGATTAAACTTGTTAAAAATGAATACCATTTAATAAACTAGAAAAATATGCAATACTATCAACTCCCCCCCTTCCCCCACCACCTCACCCTCTCCTCATAGACTCTTTATTGTTAAGGTTCAGAGACACAATCAAGATGAGGATTGAAGAAAAATGATGATTTTATTGATCACTAGAAAGAATTAGGATTACAAAAGAACACCCCCCCCCCCCCGGAGCTTACAACTCATCAACGAAGAATGAAATTATCCTTAAAACAATTAGCAGAACCAATAATGCCACAATCAAGAAACTAACTCTATATTTATAGAATCTACTAGCAATATTAACAAACTAACTAATAACTGACTCTTTTCCACCCTTTCTCCCAAAATAAACCTTCCACACTTTAGGACTTTTATTGACATCAATCATATGTTCATGTGCCATGGTTCTAACACTTATTTTCTAGTCTATGATCACAAATTTCTTGTGCATTTTCCCAGCTTCTCCCAATCCCAAACAATTGCAAACACCTACACTTATTAAAATGATATGGAAAGGATGACTTATCTCAAATATTGAGCTTTCTCACTATAATATGTATCCAATTACCTCACACATTTTACTCAACAACTCAATCAATGAGTTCAAATACAAAAGGTTCTACCTCTCCACAGAACTATGCAAGAAAGGAAATGCTCCTAGGTTTGCTTTCACTTCAAGTGTGTAATTATCCAAACAAGTGGTTACTCACATGACTGCTTCCTCTATTCTCTGTATTCCATTACATCCAACCAACCAAACAAGCTACAATAGAAATGAAAAAAAAAAAAAAAAAACATAACTCAGGAAACAGACCACAAAAGAAGAAACCATGAGAAATCTCTAAAATGTATGCTAAGAAACGGTAATGAAAAATGTGATCAAATGAATAAAATATTAACGGTAAAAGCTATAAAATGAAGCGATTTACAGTCACTAGCAGTAGATGAAGAAACATGCATTATTTGACAGCTAAGGCTCTGAGAATTCAGCAGAGAGCTCAAAACAAACATTATTCTTAGAAAAACGTGATAATTCGAATTGAGAGAAAAAAATAATAGCATTGCGCATAGAATTTGTAATCTATTTGAATAAAAAGGGTAAATGGAAAAAGGAAAACGGAACCTGCTAAAGATCGCTGCTCTGTCTCGAACTCCAATTTCAAATGTTTCAGAAGAATGAAGAAAAGCAGTCAAACTCGTATCGCGTCAGTCTAAAATTTAAACCAAACACGGAATTACAATTTCTATTTTTCTCCACAGAACACAGGCACCCGTTTCGGTGGGAGGAGAGAGGAAATATTTTATTAAAGGAACATTTATTTACAGTATGTTTCGAGAAAATAAAGACGAATTCTTTTTATTTAGTACAAGCAAAAATGAAGAAAAAGGTATATTTTTATAAATAAATTTAAAATGTTTCCTTGTATTTTTGTTTTAATTCTTTTTCTTTAACCATTTCGAGACATACATATTATTAAAGTGAATTTTATCTTTTTCAACAATTTTTTACATATACAATAAAAAAATAAAGCTCTAATTATCATAATTAAGGGACTCAATCATGCCTAAATTTCTTAATTTAGAAGCATTATATACAAATAATACCTTTAACACATTACCGATTCTACATTAAACTTGAACCTTATTCTTTTGAGAAAACTATGTTGTTGTTCGATATGCTATATAATTCAATAATCTGTAACAATATAATTTAATAAGTCTAATGTTTTATATGATTTTAATATAATTTCATTTATTAAATTATACATCAATGCAATATTTTTAAAATTTTAATATTAGATAATGTTGTAAAACTGTTCCACACTGTATATTAAGCCATTATCAACGTCAAAATAAAATATTAAACTGTCGTAAAATAATTAAAAATATTAGTAGGATTTATAAGGTTAAATTATTTTATTTTTTATGCTATTTTGAATTAAATGCTAATAACTTATTAATACTACACATCATTTTCAGATAATTTTAATCTTAAAAAATATACGAGATAAATTATAAAAAATAGTACCTCGTTAAATATTTCATTTAATATAGAAGTTAATTTATATATGCAACTTTTATTTTATTTTATTCTTAGTTTTTACATTTCATAAAGCTTGAGAGTCCAAAAGCAAAAAAGTTACAAGAGAGAAATAAATGAAAAATGAAATCCCTTAATGGTCTTCTCTAACAAAAATAAATAAATAAAAGAATAAGATATAACTATTCCAGAAATGAATTCTTAATGATAAAATTGATTGCACGATAGTATTAATGATGCATTTATTAAATATATATATGTCATTTACTTAAGTAATATTATTTAATGTAGCACTTATTAAATATATTACATATTTGCTAACTGTATGAATTTTCACATAGATAAGATTTTTTTAAAGAAAAATATTGTTAAATAAGTAATTATTACAAAATGTAATATCTAAAAATATATAGTGAAAATTGTATTGTTCATAAAACAAATTTTGAGTAACAAAATTGAAATGCATATTAATGTAACTTTAAGAATATATAAATTTTTGTAATATGTTAACAATTAATTTGATCTAACATTTTTCTCATTGTATTCTTATTTTATATATTTAATACGATAATTTTAATTTTCTTACTAAAAAAAATGAAGAATTAAAATTATGCATATTGCTCAATTTATGGGATCTTCTGTTATCAAATATACTAGGTCACATTTTTTTTATATACAATAGTAAAAGAATGGAATTTAAGATTTTTATGTAATTAAATCTTACATGTATTAATGAAAAATATGATAAATACATATTTAATGTTATTACAAATTAATATTGAATTGAGTTTAAAAAGGTAATTTTCTGTCACTTTTTTTTTATTATTTAAGATTGTGTATCTGTGTATATGTGTATGTTTTTACTTTATCTCTTTTTATTATTATTATTTACAACTATATATACTGCATCGTTATTACTCTTTAGGAGGAGCAACATACAGAGCAAGTACTTATAGTTGTCTCATTTTATTGTCGACAAAATATTTTCTTCTAAACAACTTTACTATTTGAACTTCTAAAATTTATCATTACAGACATAATATGCAATTATCTCCATCTATCTGTACTCGCATATAAAAAATACATTTCAAAACCAAGAAAGGCAACTTTTAATTGTCCCATTTTGTCGTCAATTAAACATTTTCCTTCAAGTAGCAGTTTCTATAAGCAACAGTTCTATTTTTTAAAGTAAAGATTAGTACTAGAAGATTTTGAGTAATGACCCGCTTAAGAAAGGTCAATGTCCAATATAACCTGACAGTGACAATAGAGGCATTGGGCCTGAATTATTCAACCTCGACCTTGATTATTCATTCGTGACATGACTGATCCTTAACACCGTCAACATCTTATTTAATGAAACTAGTTAGTTATACATTTCTAAAGTGAGGTTTTTGATAAAAATGTTTTCTAAGAAACCAGATATGAAATCAGAAAACAAGATATTAGACAAAGTTTAACTTGCACTTCAAAGAAATGAAATAAGAAATACATTCCGAAACAAACTCAATCACTCACAATATCTTTTGTGTTGCCCTTTAGCAATCACCAAACTCTTTTGAGTAGAAATCTGATCGTCTTACCTTTCAGCAAATAAGGAAAGAAGATAAGAAACTCTTACAGGATGAGGAAAAGTATATGGGAAAAAGTGATGATGTTGTATACCAATTCCTTCTTTTTCATTCTAAAAATTACACCTCTTCGCATAAATTGGACAATGCAGATTATGAGACACAAAATGGTAAATAAGAGATGCAAATCCACAATTTGAGTTTCTTTGCCTTTTGGTAATAACAAAATGGAACTCTTTTCTACCGGCTGAAGAACAAACAATAAGAATTGAGGAGACACGGTTACACATCTGTGAATTTCACTTCCCCCTTCTCCCACCAAGACTGAAAGAGAACTCACTCAACAGAAGAAATGTGCACAGCATAAACCATACATAATCAGAAAACTGAAATAGCTCACGAAATCCATAGTAGATTCCTATAACCGAATGATGCAATATCTCAAACAACCATAGAAAACGTACACTGCTTGCTTATACATGAATGCATATTATGGACCTTATCATCAATATTGTTAGTTAAATGTGTGAACAAAAGAGGCAGAAAGAAAAAAGTTTTCATTTATGAAACATGATGTCCAAGAGAACTTACAAGGGTTGTGTGTGTGAGTGTGTGTGAGGGGGAGATTGGGATTGTAAAGAAGCAGAAGCAGAAACATCTAGATCATACTCAACAGAAAAATTCAAAAAACCGCTATCGGAATCGACCCCTTCTTCAAGCTGGTCAATTTCCTCGTCCTCCAAGAACTGTCTCAATTTCTCTTTATAAACCCCCAACCGATCTTCCAACAAGTTCTTCTGCATCTCCAATTGCACCACCGTCCATCTCAGTGACTCGATCACTTCCAGATCGTACTCTTGCTTCTGCTCCACCACTCGCCGGAACTGCTTCGCCTGAATCTCCACCGCACTCTTCTCGCTCTGCAGCCGCAGAATCATCGCCATCGTTTCCTCCGCCGCCGACGACGCTGCCACCCTCTCCTTCTCGATCTCCGCGCACGCCGCGTTGAACCTCTGCCGCTCCATCTTCACCAGTTTTCTGAGCGACATCACGTCGAACATATCGTCCTCCAAATTATCCTCCTTCAAATTCTCTTCCTTCAAGCTCTCCTCCTTGGTACTCTCCTCTTGATTATCGGTGAAATTGGAAGAGGGCTTTTGACGAGGAGGGTCCAAAGCGTTGAGCTTTGGCGTTGAAGGGTGAGAACGGAATCTGGGGGTGGGAGGGGTGAGGATCTTGAGGCAGAAAGCGAAGATGAGGAAGAGGCCAAGGAGGTTGAAGATTCGAGAGTAGTAACCACCGAGAAGAACGAAACCACAACCAACCTCACTGGCTTGGGTGAGGAACTTGAAGGTTGAAGGAAAATCCATGAAGAAAAATCGAAGGGAAAGGCGGAGAAACCTGTGGTAGAAGCCAAGAACAGAGTGAGCAGCAGCAACCAACAAACAAAAACGACCCAGAGTCTGCATTTGCATCCCAAGGGACTAACCAATTTGCACACAACACCCTATCTTAGCGTTAAAGGGATAATACACTCACAAACAACCCCAATCCAAATATCCAATCCAACACTAGACCCACAATGATAACAATAATGGATTGTGATTTGTGTGTGAGGGGAACACAACAAATGAGGTTGTTGGTGTTATTGGGGCGTGATTGAGAAACAATGTATGTTAATGTTTGAATGGGACATTGGCATTGGCTTTGGCATTACAAGGAATATCACTCTTGCAAGCGTTGAGAGAAAGTGAGTATTGTCGTTATGAAGAAGGAGTGAGATTGTGATTGCGATTGGGATTAGGGGATCTGATAGAGAGGCGAAGAAATAGAGGGGTGAGCATCGCTTATTGTCACGTTACTCAGACCATTTCAGACCCACATAAGAGTTTCTTTACCGTTGGTCCTCCATTAATCATTTTCTCAATGCCATAATCAAAGACATATATTCCTTATTAACCACATTTTCCGTTTTCTTTCTTCAAATCATTTTGCTAGTTAACGTGTATATACAAGAATAATTAAAAAGAATTCATTTTTCATAAAACTGTATTAAAATTATTAATTAATTTACCCGCATATGTGTTTAGATTCTTTACCAAAAACAACTTTAATTCATCTGAAAAATGTGTGTTTAGATGGTCTCCACTTAGATACACTTAAAAAAATAAGTAAAAGGATACATACGTTAATGAATTAGAGTGATGATTGATTAACAGGGAAAGGGGAAAATAATAACAAGGTTTTAACTGAACTTGATAAATTGTATTTATATAAAAATGCGTACAACTTAAAGGGAAAAAAAAATAACAGTGTATGACAAAATAATTAATATAATAGTAAGACATAGGAAAAAGGTATAAGATTGTAAACAGGGATAAACATGGGTAACCGCTGGACAAGGCCTATAAAGCAATGGCTTTGATCCCTTTTTTTCCTATAATATTTTATTTTTCTTTAAACTACATTTTTTCTTTTGTGGAGTGTATATTTTATTTAAAACAATTTTATTTGATTTAAATAAATAATAATTTAAAAAATATATTTAATTTTTGTCACAGTTGATCACGTATTTTATAACATAATATTTTAATATAATGTAACAGTAAAATTTTTATCTTAAATTTAAAATATTATAATAATAACTACTAATAAGTAATAATTAAGTCTACATATTTTTTTCTTAAAAGAGATTCTTCATATCAATATTACTAAATACTAATATTCTCTTAAAAAAGTAAAATTTAAAATAAAATTATTAATTGGTCAACAGATAATATTAAAAATAAAGATTTGTTTTCCCTATAAAACTAGTCTTATCTTATAACAATTATCTCTTCATTAGTTATTTACTTTATTCATTAGTTCCTTTTTTATATCATATTAATTTTACTTAAAATATATATTTTTATTATTTAAGTTAATAGTATAAGTAAACACTTAAATAGACCAAAATCATTAAAATATTCCATTATAAATCTTAATTACCTATTACAATAATAAGATTAAACATAGTAGTTTTAATTTTTTAGTTTTAATAAATAATTTTATTAACTCTCAATCCTTAGGTAAAGTTTATTAAACATAGTAGTTTTCTTTTAAAAAATATTTATTATATTAACAATAAAAATAAAATAAATATGTTTTCTTAAAAAAATTAGTATTTTTTATTATAATTAAATTTTAAAAAATATCTTAATAACTCTCAACAAATTCTCTAAAGACGTTGCCAGACTGCATACATGAAAACCTCAAAACAATAAACTAATGGCCATTTTCAGGTGCTTTCTAACCCACTTTTATCTTAATCTTGTTTGCATAAGGATAAAGTAATAGGGTCAAAAAACATAGATTTAGTCTTAAATGATGATGAAATCTTAAAATCGATATTGGAAGATTTGAATACCACCTCTGAACCTGAAGATAATATAGATCCCCTAACATTGTGCAAAGTCTCTGCCCTGATCTCAAGATTCCTTTAGAGGAATATGAGGGATGATGTATCCCTTGGAGGGTTACCCTTATAGTGAAGCTCCTAGGTAAATCTGTTAGTTTTAGCTACTTTAATTAGAAACTAAATAGCATATAAGGAAAGAATGGGTTCTGACAATCTTGGATTTAAACAATGAGTTCTTTTTAGTTAAGTTTGAAAACATAGATGACTATAAGTTTGCCTTATTTGAAGGGCCATGATTGATTATGGATCAATACCTCCTTGTTCAGAGGTGGAGACCCCTTTTTTGAACTAAAGATTATAATCTTAGAAAGATTGCAATTTGGGTCTATATCCCTGATTTGCCTTTGAGTTGTACAATAATAAATTTCTCTAGTAGGTTGGATCTTGCCTAGGGTCTATGTTGAAGGTTGACCCCTATAATTATTTGCTCTCTAGGGAGAAATTTGTTAGAATTTACGTTGAAATAGACTTTAGAAGAAAACTAATCCCTGCTTTTAAGACCTTAGGTCAAGAGTTTAAGGTAGAATATGAGGGATTGCATTTGATTTGTTTCAACTATGGAAAATATGGGCATAGGCAGGAACATTGTGTTGAAAATCTTAAATCTAGTATGTTAGTTATGGAATCAGATGCTAGTATAATTAATAATACAGTTAGTAATGAGGGCCTTTCACGTAGTAATTTCATTCTAAATAAGGACATGGTTATAGATTGTGCTCAAAATGGGGTAGGAACCAAGGAGGATCTTTTTAAGCCCTGGATGTTGGCTAGAAAACAATTTAGGAAAAAACTCAATCCTTTTCTGCATAATGGAACTCCTTCTAAAAATGGGAAAGCTAAAGAAATTTATGTAGGTTCTAGATTTGATATCTTCGGCAATCCTCATCTAGATCTAGAGCTAGATCAAGAAGCAGAAGTTAATACTCCTAGGCCTTTAGGTGCCATTCAGACTAAGGACTTCATGTCTGAAGATCGTTTACCTTATAAACAATTTAAGCCCCACAATTCCAACAAACCCAATGATTTTGCTAGGAAAGGAACCAAGTCCAGATCTACCCCTAAAGTGGTTAATGTTGGAAAAGGTAAAAGTAGTCTTCCTCAACTTGATAAGGATAACATCATTGGTAATGAACAGGTAGACCAAAAAAGGGATCTTAGGCAAGAGAGCAAGGAAATTCTTTTATTAATGAAAATTTACCAACATATCATAAAAAAAAAAAAAGACTTTAGGTCATAGTATTCAGGACCTAATTGGCCTCAATCTTGAGGCTCTTTGGAAATAGTAAGACTCCCCCTGACTGGATCCTACTAATAGGCTCCCAGATCTGCCTTTAAAGATGTAGCTAAATAGTGTTAGTGAAAAGGGACATAATCATTCTAGTGATAGTTATATCGTAGAGAATACTGTAGGGCAATCTCAGCCTCTTAAAGCTAATTCTAATTTTTCTTCCTTGAATCCATGAAGTGTCTTTTTTAGAACTGCAGAGGTGTTGGGGGTAAGACCTTCTTTAGTCTTATTAATAACCTTATTAAAATTTATAACCTAGATTTTGTTGCCTTCTTTGAACTTAGAATTAACCTTAAAAGAGCTGATTTGGTCATTAATAAATTCATCCTAGATGGCTCAACTAGGGTTGATGTTATAGACTTTTCTAGGAGAATTTAGTATTGTTGGAATACTAGAAAAATTAAGGTCATTGTTTTAGAGAAAAATAAGTATTTTATTCATTTAAAAGTCAATAATGGTTAAAGAGATTGGGTGTTTTCCCTTACGTATGCTAGCCCTTTGGAAGGGCTTAGAGTTGAGTGTTGTAAGTCCTTTACTAAGTTTAGTACGTCAATCAATTGTCCCTGGTGCCTTGCTAGGGATTTCAACTTTATTCTCTTTGAAAAAAGAGAAATTTGAGGGTAAGCCTACCAATTTGAATCTTATTAATCAATTTGCTAATTGTCTTAACTATTGTGGGCTCTAAGATTTGGGTTTCAAAATCTTTTTACCTGGCATAGAGGGAATATTAAGGAAATATTTGATAAGGTTGTGGCCAATGATTCTTAGAGGATGTTATTTTAGAATAGCTCCCTAATTTACCTTTCTATTTTAAAATATGATCATATTGCCATATGGTTGAAAATTAAAGGCAAGGGTAGTGATAGGCTCTGTCATAAACCTTATAGGTTCTTGACTTCTTGGTTGGCTCATGATAGTTTTAAAATCCAGGTCAAAAACTCTTGGATCAGCTCTAAATCCTAAATTGAAAAAGTTAATAACTTTAGAAATATTTTTTTTTGGAACTTAGAAGTATTTGGTAACATTTTTCAAAGGAAAAGAAGATTATTAACTAAAATTAGAGGCATTTCTAGCAAGTTAGATGTCCAGAATTATCTTTACCTTGAGAACTTTATGAAATCCTTGTGGCTAAAATACCAAAAAATTCTGGATTTTGAGGAATTATTCTGGTTCTATCACTACAAATATAGTTTGATTTAATTAGGAGATAAGAATAACAAGTTATTTCATAAGGCTGTGGTGATTTGTAGACAAAACAATCAGATTGAGGCTTAGATGATTAGGAATTTGATTTTTTCAAAATCCAAGAACTTGTAGTTAGGTATTTTAGTAATTTATATTTTGATCAGTGCCCTATTAGTAATCCTTTCTTGACCATTTCCAGGTTTCTTGTCCTTAGGGAAACTAACTTACCTTGATGGATTTTGATTCTAATTTAGCAAAAATTAAGGCTGCTTTATTCAGTAGAGACAACTTCAAATTTCCTGACCCAAATGGGTTCTATGTTTTTTTTTTTTCAAAACTCAATGGATGTTTTAGATCCTTTTCTACTTCAATTTGTTTATGATACTTTCAATAACCCTGTTAATATTACTGGTGTTAATGATATTGTCATCTCTCTAATTCCTAAACTTGATACCCCTAAATATATTAAACAATTTAGGCTCATCTCTCTTTTATAATGTTAGTTATAAAATTATAACCAAAATCCTTGCTAATAGAATCAGAGGGACCCTTCCTCATATTATCT